GTTAATGATACGGAGAACATTTAATCCAGCAATCATACCAGCATCTTTAGTAGATTGACGTTGTAAGTCATTGAAATGTGCAGGAACTTTAATAACTGCATTTGTAACTTTTGTACCAAGGAAGGCTTCGGCAATTTCCTTCATCTTAACCAAAACCATAGCTGAAATTTCTTCAGGCGCAAATTGTTTAGTTTCAACTTTAAATTCGACTTGGATATATGGTTTACAATTCTTATCAATAACTTTAAATGGCCAATGCTAATTAAAATAAAGACCCATCATAAAAAAATTTTTTTTTAGTTTATGTTATTCATAACGAAATAAACGCGTATAAATAAATGCCTTTACAAAAATTTATCAAAATTGAATTTGCTAAAAATTTGTTTTTTTTATAATGTACTATTAAATGCAAAATTTGCAAATATAAGTATTTTTTTTTAGCATTAATTATTATAATGTAATTTTAAATAAATGTATTTGCAAATTATTATGCTAATAAAATGCCAATACTTTAGTAATAATAAAGGCCTAGAATTACATTATTTTATTGGGTACTTAAAGGTACTACTGTAATAATGAATTTAATAGACTATCAGATTTGCTAACTTAGTACTAATGATGTACTTTATCTTGCTTACTATTGGCAAATAATTGCTTATCTCGAAATTCAAAGTACCTTCATATCCGATTGTACTTCAGCATCCATAAATCTACGACCAATAAGACGTTTGGTGTCAAAAACAGTGTTATAAGGATTCATGGAGACTTGATTTTTTGCGGCGTCACCAATCAAACGCTGTGTATCGGTGAAAGCAACATATGAAGGTGTCGTTAAATTTCCATGTTCGTTTGAAATAATTTCAACCCGGTCATTTAGCCATACACTGACACAAGAGCATGTCGTTCCTAAATCGATACCAACTAAAGTGCGTAGAAAAAAACCTATATTAAAATGTTAAAATATTAAACGTTATAATTTCATTTTTATAAATGTATCAGCGTACCAGCTTTTCCTTCTGCCATTTGTAAACTTTATTTATAAATATGGGTTGCTTTTTTTTTTATGAAAACGATAACGTTTAGAAAAAAAAGATTTTTTTAAAGTTTAAAAACGCTTATAATGTGGAAAACTTTTTTAGGAATGAAAAATAAAATGCCTTTCATCGTAAAAATGAGACCATTATTCGTTAATAACTGTAGGTTTTTATTTCGGACTATTTCTGATTATTTCTAAATTTAAGTTGATCCCATTTTATCCAAAAAGGGTCGTCTAGCCGGTTAGTCACGTGAAAACCAGCCGCTGTGGCTTGGGGTCGGTGTAACATTATACATAGTAACCGCATAAAATTTCACGGGTACATCAGCAAGTACATTTTTTTATAAAACTTATGTAGTTCTATAAAATTATATAAATGTTATATAAAATTTTTATATAGATTTACAAACCCAATGTAGACTTATATGGTTAAAATTTTTAGATATAATTTGATATAATATTTATGTATAGTTTATTTATTATTTATATAAATATAAAATTTATGTAAACTTTATCTATATCTACATAAAATAATGTAATTTACTTTAGCTATTTCTCAAAAGTGACTAAGGTAATCAGTGTTCGATATACTAAGTAAAAATATTCTGCATGCCCGAAAACCTTCCCCAAACCCCTAATTTAAACTTTAAAACCAAATCCTAGCTTTAATATTCAAGTTAAAATTTTTTGCAAATTTACATAAACCTATATAGAAGTCTATATAGATTTATATAACTAACTATGCAAAATCTACATCGGGTTTATAAAGTTTTATAAATTTAAATAAAAATTCTACATAACCTTATGTAAACGTTTTATATAAATCTATGTAAAAATGTACTTCCTGATGTACGTGATGATATGTTCTAAATTCCATTGACCAATTCTTGACGATAGGGTAAGGGTGAACATTCAAAGGAATTTTTTTTGTTAAGAAACTTAAGGGGATTTTATAATCGAAAATTGAAAAAGCCGGCAGTTTGTTTTACTTCACGTTACACCTGGTTAAAACCCTAGCCATGATAATGCATCGTACAATTGATATACCCGTGATCGATTGGAGACGTCTCAGGTAGCTCATTAATCCTCAATTATATGCTCAAAGTCATCTGCAAAGTGATCCCAAATTTTATATATAACAAACAAACGTACATAGAAAGATAATTTAAGGTGTAAATAGATACGATCACAATGTCATTGTATCTATCTGCACCTTAAATTATCTTTATATGTACGTACGTTGAGAAGGTGTGACTTATGCGTTTAAATGCTAAAACTAACTAAAGCAAACACTCAATCAACTAATTCTACAATCCCAAGACTCTAAAGACTTCGAATTGGCCAGCAGAAAGAGGCGTGGAAAGACTTGGTCCGAGT